TTACCCAGGCTGGAGTGCAGTGGTGTGATCTCAGCTCACTGCAACCTCCAACTCCCGGGTTCAAGTGATTCTCCCGACTCAGCCTCCCTAGTAGCTGGGATTACAGGTGTGCCACCACACTCCGCTAGTTTTTGCATTTTTAGTAGAGACGGGGTTTCACCACGTTGGCCAGGCTGCTCTCGAACTCCTGACCTTACGATCCGCCTGCCTCAGTCTCCCAAAGTGCTGGGATTACAGGCGTGAGCCACCGCACCCGGCCTAACACACAGCTCACTGAAGTTTCTAACACACAGCACACTGAAACACAACGTCTATAACTTTGCTAGTTCTACCACTATAAAAATCCATTTTGCCAAATTGAAAGCAAGCTCTAGGGCCCACGAACGGATAAAAATTAAACATAAGGAGTATTTCCTTGCCTGCTCTAACATCCTGAACCAAACAGATTCCCCTCGTTGCACAGTCTTCGCCCCTTAACAGAGGGTAGCTAGTATCACCCATACTTGCTGAAAAACTGGAAAGGAGGGAAGGTCGAAGTTAAACCCATTTCCGCGGCCGTGCATGCGCCCCACCTGGTCTCCCCAGCGAGATTTGGGAAAGCAATGAGAAGCTTTCATGATCCTCTCGCGAGAGGGAAGTCTTCGCGCCACGTCAGAGACTAGAGATCTTGGCGCCGAGCGACAGGTGCCGGAACAAACAGGCGGTGAGAAATCGCGGACGCGGAACCATTTGGTGGGCAGGACTTCCGGCGGAAAAGCGGGCTGTCTCGGAAACGCCGAGCTGAGTTCCTCCCGGGTGTTCAAGTACGGTTCCTGGGCTGTTGTTTAGACTCTTGTGAAGATGGCTTGCGCTGCAGCGCGGTCCCCGGCGGACCAGGACAGGTGGGTTCTGGGTAGGTGGGTCCTCAGAGAGGAAGAGGCTTGCTGTGGTGCCGCGAGTGTTACACCGCCCTTCTCCGCTCCGCGGCCTCTAGAATGGCCTAGCTGATCCAGCTCGCCCTGGACGGGCTCCGCGGGTCTCCTTGGAGGCTGATTTTTGTGAGAATCCTGCAGCAGCCACCAGGCTCTTCGCAGGGCTCCTGAAATTCCTACCGTAGGTAGCCTAGTGTTTACCTGTACGCGAGACAAGGATTTTGGGTGCTACGTGGACATAATATTAAGTAACATAATCTCAGTGTGAGAAATGTGTTCTTTTTAATTATTGTTGCGTTCAGAAAGGCTCATTTGTGAAATTTTGAAGTTTTTAATACCTCGGACACTTTTTATATAAGAGGGCGGACCCATTCTCAGGAACTTTTAACAGGCTGCTGTGTCTAATGTAACATTTACCCAGGTTGTTTTGTTTCTATTCGTGTGGTTTTTTTCCTTCCAAGGTAGTAGATAAAGTTTATTTTTAATTAAGTTAAGTAAAAGGGAGGTAATTTAAAGAAAAAACATTAAGCAAATAATAGCATAGGTGTACCAGCAATGATGATGACCTCGCCTACCACGGACCGAAAGAATGTATTTTTGAAAATACTTGTTATCCGTTGAGTGTAGTTGTCCAGGTTCTTGACGGTTTGAATAAGAAATTGAACAAAACACACAAAGCAAGGCAGCGAAAGCAGATTTATTTTAAACAAAAGTACACTCCACAGGGTGGAAGCAGGCTCCAGCAAGCCGCCCAAGAGCTGTTGGTTACGGAATTTTCTGGGATTTAAATACTCTGTAGAGGTTTCCTATTGACCAGTGCCAGTCTGATTGGTTGAGGGAGGGGGATCACTCAGAATGAGGAGTAGGCCTGCAGCCAGTCTGATTGGTTGCTGGAGGGGACCTTTCCAAGGTAGTTTGATTTTTCAGCAGCCACGCAGAAAAAGAAGGGTTTGAAAAGGGAGTAGCCATCTGATATCTACTCAGCATGAATTGGCCTTCGGTTTTCTGCCACCCGACCCTCTTCTCCTGCCTCTTACTGCTCTAGTGATACCACTTATGCTATTGTCTATGGCAGGTTTATTTGTATCTATCCTGCTTATTTAAATAATAAGAAGACCATCGCAGAGGGAAGGCGAATCCCCATAAGTAAGGTAAGCAGATGGCTGGCTCCTTGGTCCTCGAGGGAATGGGGGGTGTCATCCTGGTCGGGCCACGACATCTTGTTAGACCCACAGGGGGTTCTCTTCACTGCATTTATTTCGGGCTTGAGGAGAACGACAGCCAAGAATTGGGGTGCGTTCCTTAGTGTTGGTGAAACCAGAAAGGCATTAATTCATAGCTGAAGGGATTTTTTTTTTAATGGCTCTTAATGAGCCTGTGTTTGTAAAGAAGTGGGGGCAGAGTCTGTAGAGTTTACATGTTTTAAGTTATGACATTGTTCCCCTTGATACAGGAAATCACAATTATGACATTGTACGATATATTAACAATGTTCAGAATGTAGTTGAGATTTTTTTTAAGTATGTGAAGACTTGCAAAAAGTTCAGCCCTGTTGAGTTTTATTAAAATGTAATTTGTATTTTGTAATATGACAGATTTAAGGCACCTAGGTTTGATGCAGTGAATTCTCACGTGATGAGTACATCTGGGTGGTAACAAGCACTCAAAAAAGAAAACATTATAAGCATCCAGGAAGATTGCGTTATGTTCCCTCCCAGTCACTGTCGCCTCCGCATATGCTAAAAAATACCAGGATGACCACTGTCATGACTTTGACACCATAGGTTACTTTTGCTTATTTTTCACTTTTCTGTAAACGGAATTTCACAGTATGTACTTTTGTATCTTTTTTTTTCACTGAACTTTAAGCTTACGAGATTTATCTACATATTAGAATGTAGTTGAATTTTCATTGCTCTGTAACAGTTTGTCAGTAGCAGCACCATTGCCAGTTTGAGCTAGATAATTGTTGTTGGGGGTTGTTATGTGCATTTTAAGATGTTCAGCAGTATCCCTGGCCTCTACCCACTATCCTTCTCCAACCCCCATTCCCTAATTGTGACTATCAAAAATGTCTCCAAGCGTTGCTAGATGTCTTTTGCGTGTGTGTAGGGGTAGGGAGCCTGAGGACAGAATTTCCCTACTCAAAACTACTGCCCTGTCTCCTCTATAGTATTGCATTGTGTGAATACACCAGAGTCTTTTCTACCTTCTTTTTTGTTTTTTTAAGAGACAGGGTCTGGCTCTGTCACCCAGGCTGAAGTGTGGCGGTATAGTCTCAGCGCACTGCAGGCTCCACCTCCCGGACGCAAGCCATCCTCCAACCTCAGCCTTCCGAGTAGCTGGTACTACAGGCACATGCCACCACGTCCGGCTATTTTTGTATTTTTTTGCAGCAATGGGATTTCTCCATGTTGCCCAGGCTGGTCTCAAACTCCTGAACTGAAGTGATCTGCCTACCTTGGCCTCCCAAAGTGCTGGGATTACAGTTGTGAGCCACCACACCTGGCCCTTTCTACTCTGGATGGAAAATTGGATTATTTCTATTAATAGTTTGAGGCTATTATAAATAGTTGTCTTTTAGTGAACATATTTTGTAGAACGCATCTGGGAATGGAATTGCAGGGCCATAAACAATGCATATATTCAGCTTTAGTAGATACTAGCAGTTTTCTAAAGTGTTTGTATGTGTAATTGTTTAAGTAGTCAGTAATCATTGAGCGCCTACTATGTTCAGAGTACCATGCTAGGTGCTGGGGAATACACTGGTTAACAAAACAAAGCCCGTGCCCTCAGAAGTTTATGTTCTGTTGGAGGGGAGATGGGCACACACATATGCATTAGTGTTATTCCTAGGAATTTTTAAAATTACAGTGGAAGCATCTGTACTTAAAGAAAAAGGAAACCTAGGGTTTTGGTACTTGTTTGATTATAGTATTTGAAATTATTTACCCAACATTATGGCAGTGTCCACTTAAAGCAAATATATTTAGTGTTTATGTTTTTAACTGTTCAGGCTGTTGAAAATCCTACAGCTACAGAGATTCAAGATGTATGTTCAGCAGTTGGACTTAACGTATTTCTTGAGGTATGACATGGTTCTTCACTATTTTCCATACTCATCTAATTGATGTAATAACTTTCTTAAGCCCTGTTTTTCTTTTGTTTCGTTTATGTTAGAAAAATAAAATGTACTCTAGAGAATGGAATCGTGATGTCCAATACAGAGGCAGAGTCCGGGTCCAGCTCAAACAGGAAGATGGCAGCCTCTGCCTTGTGCAGTTCCCATCACGTAAGCTTTTTAAATGAATCAGTGGGGCTCAGGGATAGGTTTCTCCTATGCAACACAGAAAAGGTTCTAAAACTGAAAGGTGAAAGTCACAGTTTGCATTCTGAAGATTAATTTAAAGACAGGACTACTGCTCATGGAGAGAAGCAGTAGTTCTAATTTCTTTGAGGTGAACGACCTCTTTGAAAATGTAATGAGACCCACTAAACATTTTTCCAAAAAATTGTTGTGTGAACATTTTAGAAACCTCTGGAAGTCTGTCATTGCTCCCAGGTTAAGAATATAAAATTATTAAGTTGTTGAACATTAATTGCCATTTCAGATCCTAGAGGTCCTTGAGGTCTGTTAATATCTAATTATTCTATCATTAATAAATCTAAAAAGCAATATTGACTGAAAAAAGCAAGAGATATGCATAATATGGTACCACCTAGGTAAATTTAAATACAAAATATTACTATTTATTGATAGATGCATATGTAATGTTGCTTATTGGTATTTTTTTGAAATGCTCTGTAAGGAAACACTCACTCTTAAGACAGTAGTCACCTAATGGTGAGCAGGATAGAGAGTAGAAACACAGGGATTGATGGTCATAGAAGACTGTTGCGTCATCTCTAGTGTTTTATTTCATGAAAAACAGTAACCAAACTGACATCAATATAACAGAATGTTAGTTCTGAGTATTAGGAAGATAAGTTTTTGTTTACATGTTGTTTATTTTTCTGAATTTTCATCTCTGAGAATTTTAATTTTTTAAAACAGAGCTATTAATTTTTTCTTTCATTTTAATAATCCCCTCAGTTTAGTTGAACTCTCCCATTAAATTTACTTAAAAACAGTGAAACTGTCAGACAAACTGACAACTTGTTTGATTTTTTTGTTTGTTTTTGAGACAGAGTCTCGCTGTGGCTGGAGTGCAGTGGTATGATCTTGGCTTACTGCAACCCCCGACTCCCTGGTTCAAGTGATTCTCCTGCCTCAGCCTCCCGAGTAGCTGGGACTACAGGCATGTGCCACCACACCCAGCTAACTTTTGTATTTTGGGTAGAGATGGGGTTTCACCATGTTGGCCAGGATGATCTCGATATCTTGACCTCGTGATCTGCCCACCTTGGCCTCCCAGAGTGCTGGGATTACAGGCATGAGCCACTGCACCCGGCCTGATTTTTTTAAAATAGACAAGGGTCTCACTATGTTGCCCAGTCTAATTTCAAACTCCTGGCCTCAAGCAATCTTCCCATCTTGAGGAGATCCCAAAATGCTGAGATTACAGGCATTAGCCACCATGCCCAGCCAGCATGTTTGAACTGTTATTTTTAAAGACAAGGGCTCACTGTGTCATCCAGGTTGAGTGCAGTGGCACGATTATGGCACACTGCAGTCTTTTTCTTTTTTTTTTTTGAGACAGAGTTTCGCTCTTGTTGCCCAGGCTACAGTACAATGGTGTGATCTTGGCTCACCGCAACCTCTGCCTCCCAGGTTCAAGTGATTCTTCGGCCTCAGCCTCCCGAGTAGCTGGGATTATAGGCATGAGCCACCATACCCGGCTAATTTTTTATTTTTAGTAGAGATGGAGTTTCTCTATCTTGGTCAAGCTGGTCTCGAACTCCTGACCTCAGGTGATCTGCCCACCTCGGCCTCCCAAAGTGTTGGCGTGAGCCACCACGCTCAGCTAACACACTGCAGTCTTGACCTCTTGGGCTCAAGCAACCCTCGCACCTCAGCCTCCCAGGTAGCTGAGAATACAGACGCTTGATTTTTTATTTTTTCTAGAGATGGGGTTTTGCTATGTTTCCTAAGCCAGTCTCAAACTCGTGGACACAAGTGATCCTCCTTTCTCAGCCTCCCAAAGAGCCAAGATGACAGACATGATACACTGGGCTCAGCCTAAAATAGATTTTTTTTATATACTAAAACTCATCAGGATTGGTAGGTATTGCTAGATGCTTCAGGTTGTGACTAAGGAGTAATAGTATATTCTAATACGTTTTTTCTCCTCCTTAACATTTTCCTATATTATATCTCAAAAAAACAAAAACAAACAAAAACTTGTAATTAACTAGTAGATAAAATAGGGGTAGAAATTGTGGTGAGAACATGTGACTTCCTATTTCCAGTAAGACCCAAGTAAAATAGTAAAAAGAAAGCAGAGCTGAGGAGCTTAGTCTGTTTTGGGTGAAGGCAGCTGGTTGTCGGTATGCAGAGCAGGAATGCATGTAAGTGTAGATCATCTGATCTTACCCGTCGGATCTCTTGTGACTTGATGATACTGTTTTTTTGTTGTAAGTCTGAGAAAACCCTGTGTTTCAGTGTCTTAAGAGACAATGATATTCTGACTCTGTTTCCTACCTGAGGTGTATTTGGGTACTCCTTAGATCTTCAAGCTAATTGCTAGGACCAAGACCAAAATTTTTTTTCATACTTATGTTTGCCTTTTGATATGATTCATTTAAATATTTTCAGCATTATTCTCACTCTCAGTACATTTCCCCCAGCTTGAGCTAGTCAGTGTCTTCAGTCATTTGATTTTTCATTTTTTTAAAAAACATATTTTCCATTTTCTTGATGTGATAGTTTCTTACACTTTGTGATATTCAAGTTGATGACTTTTTATGTCTTATTTCTCAGATTATACACTAAGCCTAACTTCTGGTTTCTAGGTAAGTCAGTAATGTTGTATGCAGCAGAAATGATACCTAAACTAAAAACAAGGACACAAAAAGCAGGAGGTGCTGACCAAAGTCTTCAACAAGGAGAGGGAAGTAAAAAGGGGAAAGGAAAGAAAAAGAAGTAACCTAGTATCAGCATCAAGTATGTGGTACTACTGTAAGAGACATGAATGGAGACTTCTGATTTGTATCAGAGGGAAACAGAAGCTTTTTGTTTGCATCATTTAACTGAACTGTGAACGCTTGTGCCTCTCATCTTTATCATCGGAGTTGACAGTGAAACATTTACATCAGAAGTTTGCATCTCGCTTTTATGCCGTATAAAAGAACTTTTTTGTCTTTCAATGCAGTTTTTTTGGAAGAAAGAATATTTTTAAATGGACAAAGGACTGTACAATAAGTTACTTGAAATGAGTTACTTGTTTCAGATAAATTTCAATTCGATTTAAAATAAACATTTTGTCCACCTTTTAAGTTAATGAAATAAAATTTGAAACTGACTTTTGCAACTTTTGCTTATGAATGAATGCTAGGAGAGGAGAGGTAATTAAGAATAAAATATGTAGTGAAAGTTTCCATAGTGTGAGTCTAAAACTAGAAGAAAGTGGTAGGTCCTCTTGTGGGTGGGGAACAGGGGAGTCTGTTAAAAGCCAGTCTGTAGATCATATTTTAATCTGTTACTGTAATCGAATCGTTCAATTCTTGTTTTGACATGGAAAGTCCTGGATTTTAAGCTTTAAATTTGCTTATTTTGTAGGTTTAAGAACATGATTTTCATGGGAGTTCTAAAATTAACTGTACTTCAGCACCTTGAGGTACACTTTCCTTCAAGAAACTAAATTGGATTGGTGCTTCTGAATTTATTTCAGAGCAGTTTCTGAAAGTAGTGATTTTGAGCTATCCTGATTGCTGTTCTTTCTGAGGCCTGGTTTGGCTCTTCCTTGAATTCTGCAAGCTACCTCTTATTTTCAGTAAATTCCATTTTCTTTAAGTGTGTTTTTTTTGTTTTTTTTTTTTTGAGATAGAGTTTCACTCTTGTTGCCCAGGCTGGAGTGCAGTGACGCAATCTCAGCTCACGACAACCTCCGCATCCCAGGTTCAGGTTCAAGTGATTCTTCTGCCTCAGCCTCCCTAGTAGCTGGGATTACAGGCATGTGCCACCACGCCCAGCTACTTTTGTATTTTTAGTAGAGAAGGGGTTTCTCTGTGTTGGTCAGGCTGGTCTTGAACTCCTGACCTAGTTGATCTGCCTGCCTCGGCCTCCCAAAGTGCTGGGATTACAGGCATGAGCCAGCTGGCCTGTTGACTTTTTTTTTTTTAATTCTTAACAATTTCTCTTTTATAGTGAACATAATAGTATAAGAGTTTACATATTTGACTTACAAATAAATCCTGGGGAGAGGGGAGTATGTGTAAAACATAATTCAGAGCAGCCTTCTTTGAGAAAGTGGGTGTGTTTGGCTGTGTAACACAACAAGGGAATGTGTTTGCTGTGTAACAATGAGGGACTTAAGCAGGAGATTTTTGTCTCGTATGTTAAATCCAAGTGAGGTTGCTGTGGTTGTTGGTTTAGCTCTCAGTGATGCCTTTTTTGTATTTTTCCGCTCTACTGTTCATGACATATTTCTGACACCTTTATGATTGTTGTTCCTGCTTGTAAAAGGGCTAGTATTTACGTGAGTGCAAGGCAGGAAGTAAAGGTAGCTGTGCCAGCCACTTCTGGCAAGTAGTTCTCCCACCTCAGCCTCCCAAGTAGCTGAGACCATAGGCATGAGATTTCTCAGAATTCCTCCCAGCAGGCTTTCACTTAGTTTCGCTGTTGAGAACTGTGACACGTCCATCACTAGCTGCAAAGGAGGCTGAGAAAGTGAACACAGCAGTCCTCCTTATCCTTGGGGGATGCATTCCAAGACTCTGAGTGGATCCCTGAAACAGCAGATAGTACTGAACCATGTATATACTATGTTTTTGCCTATTCATATATACCTGATATGGTTATCTGCGGCCCCACCCAAAATCTCATCTTGAATTATAATCCCCAAATCCCTATGTGTTAAGGGTGGGACTAGGTGGAGATACTTGGATCATGGGGGCAATTTCCCCTGTGCTGTTCTTGAGATAATGAGT